AAAAAATTTTTAACTAGGCTGTGATACCATGTCAAATATGTAAAAACCAATTCATTCACCCAAAAAACCCTTTTCATGTAGATTTACCAGAGCCCCAATATATAGATACAAGAGAAGCCCTAAAATAATATATACTAAATCTCTAAGATACCAAAATCTATTTATACCGAAAATTCAATATTCACAAAATCACTCTAACAAACTTCTACTTATTCTAGGTGATTTTTTAGGTTACAGTTTTATTACAACAAAAAATATTTATTTCTACATATGTCAATTGGTTATCTCATAATCTCTCTTCCCAGTCAAAAGACAAAAATAGGTTGCAGATATATATATTTTGAAAAACGGTATCTTTGTTGATTATGAGATGAATATGAAAAAAAAGATATGACAAATCCCTAAGGTGGAGCCACTGCTGGTGGCCGGACAATGCCGTGCAATAAAAAATTAAAAAAAAAATAAAACTGTTTATTTATCTGTACATGTTAATATCTTAGCCTTGAAATTTTTTCTGGCACAAATGGCACGAGTTGAGAAAATCGACATCCGAAACCCCATATATTGTTAAAAAGAATAATTCTACAAAAAAAAAAAAAGTTATCTGACACATTGTACAATTTTTGAAATGTATTATCGAATATTCATATTTCTAATTTTTTGTTTGAATAAAAATAAATTTTATTAAAAAGAAGCTAAAAGATTACATATGAAAAATAACACATCACAAAATAAATTAACTAAAAATATTTTCTAATTTTATTTTATTGTATATTGTATCCTTCTTCATAATTGAAATTTTTTATAAATAGTTATAATAAATAATTATATATATATATTCATAATTATGTCTTAGATTTATTTAATAATGTATTTATATTAATTAATATGTATATAATAATTTATATAACAAAAGAAGAGAATAACAATATAAAAAATAGAGAAAATTTCAAAACTTGTCCTACAGGATTAGTGTCATGCTACGTGTGATGATTGTTGCAAGCGTGTCAAGAAAAAACGTCATCTTTGCGCCACATGGATTTTCGGGCCTTTTGTGCTGGAAATCGTATAAAAAATACACTTTTGATTACCTTTTCGAAGTCGTTGTACTACTTTTCATGTTTCACTATCCCGCGGGACAAAAAATATCACCCTCTAAACCTGCAGGACTAGTTTTGAATTTTTTCCAAACCACACATGTATGGGAATTATGAATGTTTATAAAGTTCATGTATCACTTTATGAAGAGAAATATTTTAGCTTGTAAAGACAATAAACCTGCACAGTATAGGTTTTCCATTTTTCTCAATTATTATTATTATTATTATTATTATTATTATTATTATTATTATTGTTGTTGTTGGTCATTCTAATATAAATTCCCACTACGGTACTAAGTAATGGGAGTGTGTGAGCAACAATGCAAGTGACATAATTAATGTGCAAAGTTTCACAACCCGGACTTGATGAAAGCCTTGGTGTTCTGACCACCCCCCTCCAAATCATCATCATTCCCTTTCACCATCACCTTAAGCTCCTTGACAAATACTTCCATGGCATTCTCCGGTAAAGACATCGGAATCAATATTCCCTTTTCCCCTCACTATTCTTCCACGGGGTGTAAAAGCACAATCTGAGAAATTCGGTGATTCCCGATATCGGATTACCACCATAAATGGCATGGCCCTACCCGTAATCCACTTTCTCAATGCCCAAACGAGTCAAATCGGAAACTATAAGAGTCCTCACCTTCGAGAAATGAGGTCGACCACTCTTGACCATTCGATCCGCCACGGACCTCACCTACTCCTCGGTCGCCTCCGATTTTGCCCTCCTCACGAGCTCCACCGCATATTCTAGTGGGTTGTCAGATAGATCTCCGGCAGCAGAGACTGCCGCCGGCCAGACCAAGGCATTGCCATAGTAGCCGTCGGGGAGCGGTGGGTCGAACATCTTCCGGCAGTTCACCATGCAGTTGACTCGGAAAACC